GTGTGAGTGTGTGTGTGTGTGTGTGTGTGTGTGTGTGTGTGTGTGTGTGAGTGTGAGTGTGTGTGTGTGTGTGTGTGTGTGTGTGTGTGTGTGTGTGTGAGTGTGAGTGTGTGTGTGTGTGTGTGTGTGTGTGTGTGTGTGTGTGTGTGAGTGTGAGTGTGTGTGTGTGTGTGTGTGTGTGTGTGTGTGTGTGTGTGTGAGTGTGAGTGTGTGTGTGTGTGTGTGTGTGTGTGTGTGCTCATGTCAGGAGTCAGCTGTGTGTATTTATTCATGTGTTGAGTGTTTGGCTCCTGCTGCTGGAATCTTCTCCCCAGCAGCGGTAAAACCCAGAAAAATGCTCGTTTCACATCCTGCGCTTTTACAGCGTATCAGTCCCATGATGCAGTGCGCTGGACGCGCCGAACACGCTCTCAGTCCGACTCACATCACAAACATTCCCAGGCTGTCGTCCACAGAGACGAATGTGAGATTTGTCATGGTTTGGTTCTGAAAAACATCGGTCTGAAGATCACCAGGCCTCTAAAAGCGTCCCTGCGGCGTCCAGAGCTCCCGTTTTAGACTAAATTATGGTGCTGTCCATCTGCTGTTGGTGAAGATCGTCCAGCCGGTCTGGGTTTCTGAAGAGAGACGACGGCAAACACACACTCAAGCCACAGAATCTCTGCTTCTGTGTCTGTCTGTGCTCAGTGTGTTTGTGTGTTTCAGACTGAAGCGTTGATATATTAGAGAGCCACTTATACTCAATTCCTCCACAGATGGGATGATTCAGAATGACATCTGCCCATGACGATAGCTTGGTCTTCTAACGAAAAAAAATCTCTCCTAACTAATGCGGCAAACTATTCAGGGAACCCTCTCAGTATTAGAGGTTAAATTAATAACAGACCCCAAACTATTCATGTTCAGATCTAATAATCACACGCAAACAAAAACTGAAATGTTTGTATGCAACTCAACTGCACATGAGGTAGTTTTCATAAAAACTTGTCTTCATGAGAGATTTATTCAAACATACTTATATAATTTACAGTAATTAAGCTCTAGCTGTGAGCAGAGATAACTTTCCTGAGGTAAATGCAACATAAAGTCACATATTAATCACAAGCTGTTTTATTTGACATCTTTCTTTCGGTTGAAACACTGATTGATCAGTTACATGAGACATCTCAGGAAGCTGTACTGTATCTTTCAACACGTGTTTGTTTTGTGCTATAACTATCAAAGCGGACGAGACTGAAGCGCTACAGCACTTGATCTGTCACGCCACATTTAGGAGCATCAAAGCAGCCTTTATTGTTTGACGGTTAATATTGATGGACATTATTTCAGAGTTGAGACTTTGTTTCTTTTCAGAAGTAACAAAGCACAAGGCTCTTTGCAGTTTTTGGATGACAGACGCACTACAAATAATGGAAAAACTGCAGATCTGGCAACCCTTGCATGAATAATGGGTCATTTATAGGGTCAAATAGAACCTGTGTTAACAACTATATATATATATATAGAGGTGGGATTGCGTTAATGCGTTATTATTGTATATATTTAACATGAGGCATCTTCTTCACACTTATGAAGTTAAGTCATGTTAACTCGTGTTAAGTTACAATCACATTTACTGTTGTTTGGCAAGTCATTTCAATAGGAATCCACATGACTGGGAATTCTGCGTGAGGGGGAAAGATTTCCTAGGTTCAGTTCCCAGAAAGCTGCTTCGTTTAAAAGAGGCTTCTGACACTAGACGAGAGCTTTTCTCAGCTAATGTGACGCTGCTCTTCAGTCCAGATGAGGATAAATGGGTTAGGGTTGTCTTACGCGTGTCTCTGTGTCTCAGCTGAGGTTGGTGGCTCTCAACACGCCGCTGACGGGAAACCTGGGCTCCATCCACTCGGTTAATAAACTGTGCAGGACTCAAGCTCAAGCCATGGGCATCAGAGACGACTACAAGGCCTTCCTCTCACACCACCTACAGGACCTGATTGACACCGTGCAGCCCATGTACCGAACAAACCCGCCGATCGTCAACCTGAGGGTAAAGCGGCTTTCTGTGATTCTTACTAATAATTCATGATCTCTCACGAGCGCTGTGAAGCTTCTTTGTAAAGATTTAAGGCCTGTGCTCAACTCTAGTGAGTACTGGTCAATGCATTTTCATCTGGCTGTTGTGTGAATAGACTTTTTTGTTTTGTTCTTTGTGTGAATAGGACTTAAAGGGATAGTTCACCCAAAATAATGAACCCTTTACTCTCCCTCATGCCGTTCCAAACCAAACTTAAGTTGTGATTTACTGATAACGTTCTCCTCTCGTGAGCTGGACATTCTGCTTCGACTGGATCATTGAGTCGAGAACTGGATCGTTTCAGTGTTTGAACAAATCATTGTTTTGTGCAACAGATCAAATGGTTCATTGAAAGCATGAAAGAATGTATTTGCTGATCATCAGTGCTCGTGTCATGAGCTCAAGAAGAGCAAAGGAAGATTTTAGTCAATAACAAATAACACTACTGTTCAAAAGATAATAAGAAATTCATACTTTTATTCATCAAGGACGCATTAAACTGATCAAAAGTGTCAGTAAAGACATTTATAATGTTACAAAAGATTTCTATTTCAAATAAATGCTGCTCTTCTGAACTTTCTGTTCATCTGTGAATCCTGAAAAATAAAATGTATCTCAGTTTCCACAGAAATATTGTGCAGCACAACTGTGTTCAACATTGATAATAATCAGAAATGTTTGTTGAGCAGCAAATCAGCATATTAGAATGATTTCTGAAGATCATGTGACACTGAAGACTGGAGTAATGATGCTGAAAATACAGCTGCGCATCACAGAAATACATTACAGTTTAACAGAGATTCACATAGAAAACAGCTCTTTTGAATCACGATACTATTTCACAATTTTTACTGTATTTTTGATCAAATAATTGCAGCCTTGGTGAGCAGAAGAGACTTCTTTCAGAAACATTAAAAAATCTTACCAACCCCAAACTTTTGAACACTTTTGCACACAAAGCTATGCAGTCACACTTTAATTGTGTCTTTCAAAGCTTTAAAGCCTCAGTTATATGAGAGAAGGAAAGTTGTGTGGGTTCAGAATGCCGACAGAGTTAACTGTCCCTTTAAGAGTCTAAACTCCTATATCAGTGTGTGCTGTGATGAGAGAAGCGTGTCTGATGTGTGCTGTGTGTCTGCAGGGTGAGCTCCTGTTCAAGAACTGGGACAGCATCTTCTCCAGTCCCCTCCTCCCCCCCGGCGTCCCGCTGTACTCCTTCGACGGGCGAGACGTGATGAGCGACCCCTTCTGGTCAGTACTGCATCAGCACACACTCACAGCTGCTCTGAAGATTAGAGGAACTCTTCTACAGCTTCTGATCCAATCAGCTTTGTGTCATTCTTTCATGCACATTTCAAGCAAGCGATCTGCGTTCAGTCCCCCTCATTAATTACTCAAACTCTAGTGATGATCTGGAGTAGTTCAGTGTAAGCGAGGACGGCCTGACCGCAGTGCAGACGACGCTGGCTGCTCCTCTGGCTCTCATATTTCTCCACCCATGGCTTTATTTTTGGTTCTGTGTTTATGTGTATTTATACTCCAGGCCGGTAAATATATCCTGGGATGAGGCCGTGACAGTGGAGCAGTAATTGTGGTCGGCTAGTAGCCGTTTTAGGCTTGTTTGTGTAGTTTGTGGATGTTTTGGGCGTTTCAGGACAGTTTCTGTATGAACAGAAGAGCAGCTGGTGTGTCACAAAGCCGTTCCCAAACACCACTGCTGTCTGTACTCCAGAGCATCACTACCTACACTGTTCTAGGAAAGTCCTGCTAACAATCCCATTAAGCTGTGAAAACATATCTTTCTCTGAACGTTTAAAATGTCTTAAAATGTTTTACAAACGATGATCAGATGTGTGACAGCGTGTACAGTTATGGATCATCAACTAGTCTGATTTATTCATCAGTATTGTATGCTTGTTTTTAAGTAACCAGTAGCCTTTGGTTTATGTCACAATATGACAAGTGAAAAACATTTAGCTGTTTCTAGAGGACGATGGTTTTAGGAGAAGGAACGTTCTCACTCTAGATCCTCAGCAAACTTCAAATTACTTTTAATTATTATTTAAATTAATAATAATAATAATAATTTTCATTTGATTTTAAATAAATATAGTTTTATTTGATTTAATTAGCTATAAAGTGCTAAAACTCTGAATATTTCCATCTTTCCAACTTTAATTTGTTCCCTGAGCAACTGTTGCGTTAATTGAAGAAAATTCAGTTCTTGAAACGTCTGGAATGATGATTAATTAATTGAGTTTATTTAATGTTTTATTTACTGACATTTCTAGTTTTGCTTAATCATTATAAGATCATATCAGAATTATATTTCAGGGGTCTTTGAATAATTTCTTGGATAATAGGAGCCAAAAAGTTTGAGAATCAGTGTTCAAGAGCATTTTATTAGACAAAAATTGGCACACATTCAGAATTTACAGTCTTTCTATACATTATAAATGTTGGATAAATGTTTATTTTGCATATACACTTCTGCTCACCAAGGCTGCATTTATTTGATCAAAAATACAGTAAGCCGTGACAGTGGAGCAGTAATTGTGGTCGGCTAGTAGCCGTTTTAGGCTTGTTTGTGTAGTTTGTGGATGTTTTGGGCGTTTCAGGACAGTTTCTGTATGAACAGAAGAGCAGCTGGTGTGTCACAAAGCCGTTCCCAAACACCACTGCTGTCTGTACTCCAGAGCATCACTACCTACACTGTTCTAGGAAAGTCCTGCTAACAATCCCATTAAGCTGTGAAAACATATCTTTCTCTGAACGTTTAAAATGTCTTAAAATGTTTTACAAACGATGATCAGATGTGTGACAGCGTGTACAGTTATGGATCATCAACTAGTCTGATTTATTCATCAGTATTGTATGCTTGTTTTTAAGTAACCAGTAGCCTTTGGTTTATGTCACAATATGACAAGTGAAAAACATTTAGCTGTTTCTAGAGGACGATGGTTTTAGGAGAAGGAACGTTCTCACTCTAGATCCTCAGCAAACTTCAAATTACTTTTAATTATTATTTAAATTAATAATAATAATAATAATTTTCATTTGATTTTAAATAAATATAGTTTTATTTGATTTAATTAGCTATAAAGTGCTAAAACTCTGAATATTTCCATCTTTCCAACTTTAATTTGTTCCCTGAGCAACTGTTGCGTTAATTGAAGAAAATTCAGTTCTTGAAACGTCTGGAATGATGATTAATTAATTGAGTTTATTTAATGTTTTATTTACTGACATTTCTAGTTTTGCTTAATCATTATAAGATCATATCAGAATTATATTTCAGGGGTCTTTGAATAATTTCTTGGATAATAGGAGCCAAAAAGTTTGAGAATCAGTGTTCAAGAGCATTTTATTAGACAAAAATTGGCACACATTCAGAATTTACAGTCTTTCTATACATTATAAATGTTGGATAAATGTTTATTTTGCATATACACTTCTGCTCACCAAGGCTGCATTTATTTGATCAAAAATACAGTAAAAACTGAAATATTATTACAATGTAAAACAGCAGAAATACACATGTATTCCTGTGATGCGCAGCTGTATTTTCAGCATCATTACTCCAGTCTTCAGTGTCACATGATCTTCAGAAATCATTCTAATATGCTGATTTACTGCTCAAGAAACATTTCTGATTATTATCAATGTTGAAAACAGTTGTGCTGCACAATATTTTGGTGGAAACCGTGATGCATTTTATTTTTCAGGATTCACAGATGAACAGAAAGTTCAGAAGAACAGCATTTATTTGTGTAACATTGTGCTGTAAATGTCTCGGCTCATGTGTGTGTGTGTGTGTTTCAGGCCTCAGAAGGCGGTGTGGCACGGCTCTTCAGAGAGAGGCAAGCGTCTGTCCGCTCTGAACTGTGAGTCGTGGAGAGCGGGTGACATGGCCATCACCGGTCAAGCGTCGTTCCTCTACAGCGGCTTACTGAACCAGCAAACACGCAGCTGCTCCAACCGCTTCATCGTGCTGTGCATCGAGACCAGCCACGACCATCAAACCCTCCAGGAGCTCCACAAGGCACAGGATCGCCACAGAAGATGGTTCCACAGATCCTGAAGCCCTCGGCGTCTGACGGAGGACCCATCGATCTCAGGCTGTGGCCACATGAACTTTAACACAACCAAAGCCATGGCTCTAGAATGTAAAGTGTATTGGCCGATTCCCAGTGTTGGACTGCGGAGACTGTGCCGTCATTTCTATGCACTGTACTTTTCATATTGTATTTTTTGTATTTTCCAAAGAAAAGTCTTTTTTGATCACGTCATTTATTTGTTTCTTATTCTGTTTGTATTTAATTTAATTTCAATGTTTTATTTATACAGCGACCGGACATCGTTCAAAAATGAGTATGGATAAATATGTCATTTAACTGTTCAAATGAATGATGCAATTGTTTATTTTCGTTTCTGGATACTGCATCCGTTTTACTGATATCAGACCACGTAATCAATCTGATGAAGAGATCAGATCACCATCAAATCACATTTTTATAGATTTTTTAAAGCAAATCAATTGAAGCAGTGTCTGTCTGTTGAATAAAACATTTTTTTCCAGTTTTGATCTTAAAGTGGCTATTATTTTCATATCACAGACTGCCCTGCGGTGAACCCGGATGTGAGAGTTGTGTCTGCTGATGAGCACGTGTCCTGATCTGCCGTCAGTGGGAATGGGAATGCTTCCGGCTGGTTGGGAGAGCTGGAGCTGGCATGAGTCTGGTGAGGTTTGCCACCCTCAGACTGGCACAGCGTTACGTCACCCGCCAACACACATTATTCATCAACATCACGTCTGTTTTCCCCTCACAATGGAGTGTTGTGGGAAAAATAATGTGAACTGACTTTAAGAGGTCACAGCTTTAAAGATGAATTCATTGCACATATCCAGGCTTCACTTTTTATCATGGGTCTTTTTAATTTGAAATGTACATTTCTCATTATTCACTGTAACAAAAGTCAAACTCTCAGTATTTTATAATTTTATTTTTTATGTATTTTAGTTTAGTTTGGTTTCGTTTTTATTACGCTCCAATTAAACAATTACAAGGCATTACTTCAATCCCAGCCGTAACTTTTCTTAACACTTTGTATCGCTTGCAATAATTGAGCACTGTAGACAGATTTCCTGCCAAAATAGTTCTTGTTGTTACTACTTTAAATGAGCTCATGCTACGCCTGCGTCCTACATGATCCGCTGGACGTCTCTCTCTTGTGAACGACAGCGGAAGCTAGAGATTACGGTTTATAGAGTTTTAAATATGGATATTTTTCTTACACAAACGCATCGATTCGCTTCAGGAGGCCGTTATTCACCCCCGGAGCCGTGTCGAGCACTTTTAATGATGGATGGACGCACTTTATTGGGCTTCAAAATCTCAACACCCATTCACTGCCATTATAAAGCTTGGAAGAGCCAGGACAGTTTTTAATATAACTCTGATTGGATTCGTCTGAAAGAAGAAAGTCATACACAGCTAGGATGGCTGGAGGCTGAGTAAATCATGGGGTCATGTTCATTTTTGGCTGAACTATGCCTTTAAGATTTTTATTATTATTATTATTTTATTAAACCTCATCATGTAACAAACAGACATTATCATCGTTAAATACAGCCACAAGCAGCATTTTACATTTTTGAATGCCACAAAATTTGGAGCAACTTTAACAAACCGAGCGGTCAGATGGGATATAGATCTGTAAATATTTCCCAATATTAGCTGTCATTAACACACTTAATGCTGTATATCAGTCCGCAATTAAACTGGCACTACTTTCCAATCAAACCTGACTGCATCATCTCAGTTATCATCATGATCTTGGAGGACTTCAGTATTAATGTAACTCATATTGTAGCAGTGTTCATCTATGATTGTTTTGTACAATGGAACAGAGTCCTGCTCTGTGATTGGCTCGTTTAGGCTCATTAGGGTAATGCAGGTTGCGGTGGCTGAGGATAAATAAAGCAGTGGTTTGGTAGGCCGAGCTCTAGCTGTGCACATGTGAAGCACATTAGAGAATCAGTGCCGTTTCCTGGTGCTCTTTCATCGGGTTCAGGCTCAATGCCACAACAGAGATGAACATTTCGACTGTGAGTATTAATTACAGTGCCACGCCGGACGTGACGGAAGCAGCACGTGGCACTTCCGGCACTCAGCTTATAAAGTAGCTCATTAAATACGCTCTTCAAAAGTTATTACAGTCTCCAGTTTTAGTTTAGCCTGGAACACCTACTGTAATTATCTCAAGTTATATCGGTTATGTCTGGCCTCAAGAGGCTGTCATTACCTTGCTAAACAGTGATTTGAATGTAAGGTGTCCTGCCCATCAGAGCACAATACTAGCTTTCAAAGCACTCAGCAGCTACACTCTCAGCAGCACATGCCACAGAAACACAATCAAATCAGTTCTGGCTTCTCTGGAAGCGTTGAGCTGAACGCTGTCTGCTGGGTTTAATGTAACGCTGCTGCATTCCATTTCCTTTGTCTTTTGTGATCGCTGTGCTTCCTCTTCCTCTGCGTGCTGAAGATATGCAGTCAGATTAGCAGCTGCTCAAAACATTAATTTGACATAATAACCAAGTTTAATCACATGCTTGCATATCTATCTATCTATCTATCTATCTATCTATCTATCTGTCTAACACACAAAACAAGTAGTGACATTGTAACAGTAACAAATAACAGTAAAGAAGTTGCTAACCAATGAATAACAAATAAATACTGTAATGTATGTACATGGATAGTCTCTGATTATATCAATCAAGACAGTAGTTGGTTTCTGTGGGTGTGCAGCTGAAAATGAATGAATTTTGCTGCATTTGATGGGTAACTGTAATATCCCCAGTAATATCTGCATTTGATCCGTTTCTGGAGAACTATAAAACTGTGAGTTTGTCAAAGTATTTCTCTCTCACCTCTTTATATTTGCTCCAATGAAGATCTCTCTCTCTCTCTTTCAATTCATTTCAAATGAGCTTTATTGGCGTGACCGTGTGACATATCACAATGTTGCCACAATACATGTCATTATTATACATATATGTTAAAATGTAAATGAATACAGAGAGCAGTTCAGCCTTCGTCCCTCATATGATGTCAGGAGGTGTACTGCGCTGTCGGGTGGATACACTTTTCTGTCTCTCCCAAAATATACGAGAGTTTCTCTATGGTGCTCACTTGCTGGAATTACAGTGAAACTTGAGAAACTTGTGTCTCTAATGTGTTTGTGCAGCTCGTCCTCCATGTTTATTGGTAAGGCCCAATCACTACTGTACTTCTCCAGAATGGAGAGGCTTTGGTGCAGTATTAAAAAATATTAAATAGAGTCAGGCTTGACTGACGCACTCCTTTAGTCTGACTGAAATAATCAGTCCTTTTGTCATTGATTTTGACACAGCATTTGATCCCATTATATATGTCCTTTATGATGGCATATGTCCTTCCTCCTATTCCACTTTGGATGAGTTTTAGGAAAGTCCATTATGCCGTACCTAATCGAAGGCTTTTTTTTTTTTAAATCAATGAAGCATTCAAATATTTTTCTTGTGTTGTCTGCTGAAGGTATTTTTGTATGAGTGTGTGGAGTGTATGGATGTGATCTGATGCTCTCTGTTTAGGCATTAAGCCAGTGTGGCAGTTGTTTAGAATCTTGTGTTCTTGAATGAACTGAACTGATCTGTCATTAATAATAGAGCAGAATAGTTTTCCGAGGTCACTGTGATGCCCCTATAATTGTTTGGGTCGTACTTCTCACCTTGTTTAAAAGTCAGATTTATCAGATTATCTGTCCAGATTTCAGGAAAGTGTCCTTATTTTAATAAGAGATTAGATCATTTCAGCATAGCATCTTTTAATTTGGGGCTGCTATGTTTCAGCATCTTATTAGATATTCCATCCAAGCCACAGGATTTTAAATGTTTTCTAGGGATGTCATTGCCTCTTAGTTCATTTAATGCTATGGGCTCGTCTAAATGGTTTTGTAGTGAACTCTAGGTTATGTAATTGGGAGGTCAGATGTTTTTGGGTAAGGGTTGGTTCGGATTGTGAATAGAATTTCCCAAAATGTTCAGTCCAGATGTTTGGGTCATGGATGGGAATGTGTTTGTCTTCTTTGGATTAATCTGAATTATTCCAGAATTCCCCAAAATAATTTTGATCGACTGCAATCTCCAATCTCTCAGTCTTGTCTATTTGTATTTTTTTTCTGTCTAAGCTAATGTTTTGTTGTTGTTGTTGTTGTTTCTAACTGTTGTTGTGTTATGGCTGTGTCTGATGTCTGATCTTTTTTGTTGTTGTTGTTGAAGTTTTGTAAGGCTGTTTTTCTTGTTTTCTCTCTCTCCTGCTCGTGTGTCCGTCCCCCTCTCCCACCCTCGGGCACATAACGGTATAAGTGCGGTGTTTTCTCATGGCTCCGTTAGTTCCCCAGCCCTCCTCCAGCTCCAGCTCCAGCTCCGCGCACATGCTCAGAACTCCACGCCGCGCTCCGCGTCTCCTGAGCGGCCTGTGCTCTCCTGCGCTCCCGCTAGCACAGATGCTCTCATGGAGCTCGAGTCTCGTTTGCGTCTGAGTCCACCATGCACTTTAGGATTTCAGTAAGATGTACGTGTGTTGTGAGATAATCATTTTGCTTCTCTCCTGCAACTTCTGCGCCCTCGTCTACACTCAGGGTAAGTCCTCTTTCACTTCTCCGCTTCTGCTTCTAGTTGTTTTAACGTCAAGAATCGGATAGTTTTATCCGATAAAATATAATTTTTCACCGATGAGACGCGGTAAAAGCTGATACGCTATTAATAATGACTGATAGCAACATTTTAACAACATGATCGCAAGTTTGGACTTGTTGATTCTGCACCGTTATTCTCAACCAGGCTTTTAATGCTGCATCAGAATTATTGAATTGTGATTTGTGTTATGTTTGGTAAAGCATAAATCATTGATTGAGTCTATTCAGATGTTTGTATATGCTCGACTGTACCGTTATATTCCCGTCACTTCATTGAGTAGCTTATGAATCCATTATTCATGCTGCCTCGCTGTAGAATACTATGATTTTACAAAATGTAAGAGTCATTTCATAATAGTAACAAAATACTATGCAACAATGATTGTACTGTGCTGCATCGTGGGATAATAGTTCAAACATCTGTTTCGTTTGAGGGCACAGTTTTGGTGATTACATTTACTTTAATTTTATTTCATTTTGCACTTTTAAGAAAACAAGTTTTGCATTATGATTGAATTACAATTGCAATATTGTTCTTTATAATGTAGAATTATAATGAATTTTCGGAAATAATCCAGCAAATAGTGAATACATGCAATGCATATTTCATACCACAGTGCATTCTGGGAACTGAAGTGCTTTTACAGTTATAGTGTAATTATAAGAGATAACTGAGAGACAGACCATCACTGAGCTTCTTCAGCAGTTGTTCCCCGGTGCGTTCAGCTGAGGTGAGATCATGCTAATGTTATTCATGAAAGTGTGCTGAAGGTGTTGGAGACATTTGTGGTTTTGGTTCACAGCTGCCGTTTGTTGTAGGTGTCAGAATCAACTAATCTCGTTCCGTGATGTTTTGCATTGATAAAAAAAACAAAAAGTTAAACATACAAAATAAAATTTCACAATGGCAACATTTTGATGTTGTTTATAAAACTTAAAGACAATTCTTTCATGTTCTATTAGTGTCAAACAAAGTCAAACTTACATCTGGATGCTTTGAAGTGTGTGTGTGTTTGTGTG